AATAAATTCTGTGTAGGATAAAAAGTCTCTGTCCTTAACAAGCATAAAATCTGGTGGGGCTCATTTACCTGTGTGATAGGGCAGGGTATGAAAAGCTGTCTCTTATACACATCTAGATGTGTATAAGCACACATACTATATGATTCCTTTTGCACAAAGTACTACAACAGATTAAACTACAATGACAGAAACTGGAACAGTGGTTGCTTCATGGAGGAGGATGTGCAGATTGATTGGGGAGGTACACAAAAAAATTTTCTGAGGTGGTGAAAACTTTCTGGATCTTGATAAAGACATGGATTACAGAGCTGTTTGCATTATTCAAAATGGATTGAAGGATACATTTACAACCTGTGCATCTCACTGTATATAAAGTATACCTCAACTGAAAAAAATCAATGAGAAAAACAAGTTTAGGAACACTTCCATGACTACCATCCCAGGAATGGCAAACCAATCATTATATTCTCAAAGTTTCCTTTATCACAGGCCATTCATTCATTTTTCTTCTTGCCCCATGATAGCAGCTCTGGGCCGTAGGAAAATTAACTCTACCTTCAGGCGGAGAGCTTAAGCAGGCAGGTTACGCCTTGGTATAACCTGATACTGTCTCTGAGAATCAGAATAAGGGAAGAGTACAACCCTTGGACTAGTGTTCATTCGTTTCCAACTCAATGCAGTCAAAAGAATATAACTGCTGTACAGCTGTTTCCGGAAAGGCAAGGTATTCCTTACTGTGGCAGCCCTGAAGACACTTTGGAAGATTTGAATCTCACTTAAGTGCAGGTACTTATACACATTATAGGGCATACAAAGCGCAAAGTTGAAGGCATTGTTAAAACAGTGGCTTCTGTCTCCTGCACTAGTCTCTTACTTCTAGTTCTACTTTATTTAATTAGTGACAACTTCCTATCATAAGACATACAGGATTTCCTCAGTTACTCCAACCACGCTCAAAGGACACTTATTCTTCATTTGGCCATTACAGGAGAAAGGAGAAGCGCACAGCAGGAGCAAACTGGACCTCTCTTTTCTCCACCTGGTTGGTGGGTCAGAGATGGGGCACGGAGAGATGTGAGGAGACAGTATCTGATGCAATAAGACTGCATTCAGAACTGTTTTATGAACTATCCACAGGCTGGTTGTGTCCCAGTTCTGTGATAGTGGTTAAAGCACGTCCAGTTTATGCAAGTTCAAAAGGCTTGAAGAGTCCCAAGGTTTGGTTAATATAGACAAATGCACCATAGGCTACTATAGAGAAGAAAGTCAGAAAGAAGATGGACAGTTAAGGAGGATGGAGATGCTAACTACCAGTGTAACTATGGCAATTATTATACTGATAATTTTATTTAAGGTAAGTGTAGAATTACACAGAGATCCAGGTACACAGAAGAGACAACTTATTTATTAATGCAAAAAATATTTGTTGAGGATCTTGAGATGGAGAGATTATCCCAAATTATCCAGGTGGGCCCCAAATGTAATCACAAATGTCCTCCTAAGAGAGATGTCTGACACAGAAGGCAAGAGGCGAAGTGATAATGGAAGGAGAGAGAGAGAGATTTGAAAATGCTGCACTATTGGCTTTGAAGATGGAGGAATGGGTCATAAATGTCACTTCAGTATCTGGAAAAGGCAAGATTCCAGAAGTTATTCAGTCCTGCCAAAACCTTGATTGGGGCTCACTAAAATTTCAGACTTCTGGCCTCCAGAACTATAAGAGAATAAACTTGTGTTGTTTTTAGCCACCATGTTTGTGATAACTTGTTATAGCAGCCATAGGAAACTAATACATGCAGCAAAGAGGAAGAATAACATGCTAAAATGGGAACAAAAAGTACTTACAAACCACATCTCTGGCAAAACTCTAGTATCTAGACTATATAAAGGACTCTTAAAACTCAACAGTAAAATAATAATCCCATTAGAAAAAGACTGTTTTCATCCATTTGCACTGCAATAAAGGAATACCTGAAGCTGGGTAATTTACAAAGAAAAGAAGTTGATTTGGCTCACAGTTCTCCAGACTGTACAAGAAGCATGGTATCAGCATCTGCTTCCAGTGAGGGCCACAGGAAGCTTCCACTCATGGCAGAAGGCAATGGGAGCAGGCATCACACAGTAAGAGAAGAAGAAAGCAAGGAGGGGATGGTATATTCTCATAATAATAATATAGTGAGAACTTGCTACTATAAAAATGATTTATGAGGCATCCTCCCCATGATCCAAACTTCCCACCAGGCCCTGCTACTAATACCAGGGATTCAATTTCAACGTGAAATGTGGAGGCAACAAATATCCAAATTATATGAGAAGGCAAAAGACAGACATTTCACAAAGAAGATAATACAGATAGCAAACAAGTACACCAAAAGATGTTTTTACATCATTACCCAGTAGAGAAATGCGAACTAAAACCACAATGAGATATCACTACATACCCATCAGTATGACTAAAGTGAAACGTAAAATCAACACCAAATGCTGGCAAGGCTGTGGAGAAATGATATTACTCACATACTGCTGGTCGGAATATAAAATGGTACAGCTACACTGGAAGATAGTTTGGCAGTTTCTTAAAAAGCTAAACATGCGTTTAACATATGACCCAACAATTCTACTCTTGGGCATTTACCCCAGAGAAATGAAAACCTATGTTCACACAATATATGTCTGTGTGCACAAATGTTCATAACAGCTTTATTCATAATAGCCAAAAACTGGAAACAACTCAAATGCCCTTCAGTGGGTGAACTGCTAAACAAACTATGCTACACCTGTACCATGGGATGCAATGCAGCAATAACAAGGAATGGACTATCGATAATCTCAACAACTTGGATGGATCTCATGGGAATCATGCTGAATGGAGAAAGCCAAGCCAAATGGTTACAGATTCATGTGGACAACATTTTTGAATTATAAAATTATAGAGATAGAGAACAGATTAGAAGCTGCAGCTATAAAGAGGTGGCACAGGGAGCCATGTGGTAGTGAAACAGTTCCAGTGATGGTTATACAGAGCTAAACATGACAAAGTTGCATAGGCACACACGCACACACACACACGTACAAATAAAACTGATGACATCTTAATAAGCTCTGCAGTTTTCCCAATGCATTTTTCCTGGTTTTGATACTGAACTATAGCTACGCAAGATGTTACCACTGAAGGACACTAGATACTTGGGCCCTCCCAGTATATTACTATTGCAATTTCTCGTGAACTTATAATTATTTCAAAATGAAAGTAAAAAAATAAGTACAGGTAAACAAAAAGGATTTTGCAATGGAGATTAAGAAGAGATGCTTAGTGAGTTTAGAGAAATATTTGGTGTTACGGACGACCCCAGAAAAAAACTAGGCCAAGAAGGAAGGTGGTCAAGTGTGTCTAATTCAGCAAGGCAATGGCAGTTTAGGGGGAATGGTGGAGACGAAAACCAGTAGCTTGAACAGTGACTTTTCTAAGAGGTTAAATTTTTAACTCCAGCTATACTTTCCCTAACAAACCTCTTAAGAGGTAATGTTTTGTCCACATCTCAAGTATTCTGGTTCTGAGAGCTTGAAAATAAGAGCTTATACTTTATTGAAAGCTTACTTTGATCCAGGACTAATTTAAGCATTTTGTAAGTATTAATTCATTTCATTTACAAGCCTATAATGATCTTCCCCATTTTACAGATGAGTAAACTGAGGCATAGGGAGATTTATATATATATGTGTGTGTAATGCACACACACACATACACACATATATATATAACACTAGTGCATGCGAGAGAGCTGGGACTAGGGCATAGACAACCTGGCTCCACTTATTCATTTGTTCAACGAACATTTGTGGAGCACCTACCAAGGGCCAGATTCCAGGGCTCTCTGCCACCATTC